TTGCTGGAAATCCTTTTTGAGCAGAACTTTTGACTTGAAGAGCAGTTTCATCTGTGTTATTCCAGTTTTATGCTATATTGAACTATTTTTTGTTTTGTTTTTTGTTGCTGTTTTTGGGGTTTTTGCATATTACTCAAGAGAGTCAGAAAAATTGATTCCGTTGCCTATGCACTCAAACCTAAGGGGGATCAGAGACGTTGCTATACCCAGAGCTGAAGAAAAACTTCATGAAACTTGATGAAAATTTTACCCAAATTTACAAAGATCAAATCATAACTATAATAAATCAAACATTTTTAACATTTGGTTTGTATTGGTTTTATGGTGGTGATGCATGACTACATCAAACTTAACTAAATCAATTATAGCACTTCTGATCAAGTTTGACCTCTGTTTTAGAGATTTAGTGTAACATAACAATTAAGAGTAAAAAACTAAAAATGTCATAATATTCTCATTTTGTTTGTTTTGTAACAAGGTTGCCTCTTTATTCAAAGCAACATGAAACCTCTTTTCTAAAGAACTTTTTAAAGGGCTTTTGTACTTTTGTATGGCAAATTACATTCAAAAGTGTATTAATCAGCCATGCTTATGTATTTAATATTATGTCCTTAAATGCAATATACTGGAGTCGTGTTGGAGAGAAGATGATAAAACCTCCCCATCATTAAAACCTTAAATAAACATAACTAGAATATTATTAACAAAGACTCGCAAGTCACGCAAGCCTTCTTCCCCTTCTGCTTTCTGTCACCCAGGGCTAAGGAGATCAAGTCGAAATTGGGAGTTTTACTGCAAAAGCCAGAAAATGCCATCGACCTCATCATCCCCTACCCCGAGAAGACTGAGAAGAAGCCGGAGAAGCTGCAAAAGTGAGTTTCTTTCTCCGCCTCTGGTGGAGGTTTGTTAACCAGATAAATGATGGTTAAGTGGCAGAGCAGAGCCTCGAGCAGGTACAAGATGTGGTGATCAAAGGACATTAAACCTCTCCAGACACAGAAAGGGCTCAGATGTCGGTGTTAGATGGTACAAAGCTTTAGATGCTTCCATTTTATTATGCATTACCTTGAAAAGACTGGGTTAGAGATGAATTATGTATGAGGTATTGAACACATTTACTTTTCTTTTACTTTATTCTTGTTATAGCATATACTTGTAGAGCAATCTTGTAAATGGAAAGTATCCGATTTTGTCTGCTTTGATTTTTCCTGTCAATACAATGGAAATTGTTCAAATTGGACATGGTGGAATTTTAAAGAAAGTCCCCCCAGTGCAGTTTTAAGAGAAATCAGTGAGGCTTAAGCTGAAGGTTTGATTTTGTTTTGCCGTATTCTGTGTGTTCCCTTTAGAGAGATGTGGTTCAATATTAAGACTATATATATCACTCTTTATAACTCTCCTGCCACTGCAATGTTGATAACTTGTATTAGCCTTAGCATCTAAATTTGTTATCCATTAACAGAGTTTTTTTATATATTTGACTTGTCTTTATTTATGATTGCTGAGGATATGTGCCACACTATAGCCCCACAGTGAGAATCTAGACTATGAATAGTGTTGCAAAGCCAATCCAGTGTTCATTAAGCATTTGCTTGAGATTATATTAGGAAGCCTATACAATCAATAATAGATGATAGTTCTGTTGTTTTAGCTGCTTGGGAAACTTTCTCCCAAAGGTGAGAGGAAGGACATGCAGTTCCAGAATCATGACTCCTTCAAATTGTTTCAAGTTTCAGTCCAGTGTGTCTGGTACATATGTCAGACCAATCACAGGGAGAATTTAGACAATCTATTCTCAGTGGATGTTTTCCAGACTTAAGTCTCACAGCGGAGATCAAAGGATGCAGTTTTGCTTTGTGAGACTAGAAACATACATCAAATGTGTCTGGGAATATTTATAGCTTCTTGTTTGAAGCTTTTCAGCAATAGTGACGTATACAGGTTTCACTCTGTAGAGTTTATGTAGAGCCCATAATGTTTGCTCATGGTGAAAAAATGTTGTATATTGTAATGAAGAGAAGAAGAACTCTTTTTATTCTTACACACACACATAGGCTGAAATACACACTTGTGGACATGCGACAGGGAGAGAGATGGTGGAGTGATGGGCTCGCCATGTTAGCGGCGCCCATGAGCAGTTTCTTGGGATTAGGTTGCCTTGCTCAAGGGCACCTCGGTAGTTCACAGGAGGTGAAACTTGCACCTCTCCAGAGTCCACACTCCATATTGTGGTCTGTGGGGTTTGAACCAGCAACCCTCCGGTTCCCAAGCCAAGTCCCTACACACTGAGCTACTGCCGCCCCAATGAGACCCGTTCATGGTAGAACAAAACAAAAAGATTGCAGTTCAGGAGAGAATGTGTCAGTGACCAATAAAATGAAATGGGTTGCTCAGAATCTTTTTGGTAAACTGGTCCTCAGAAATAAATCAGCATTTTAAAGTGTAGTGTATTTCCCCCTGGTAGCTGTTAAATTATGCTGAAAAAAGTCCTGTAGCAGCAACTTAAATAACTGCAGTTCAAACTTAAATGAAAAAGCTTGTTTCCACTGTACACTGTAAAAAATGATGGGGTCAAATTCTGTATTTTCGCTTGTGTTTTGAGATATTTTTAACCAGTTTGAAACTTCCTGACTAAACTGAAGTCTTTTGTGTGCAGGCCTTCTCCTGAGGAGGCTGCTCAGTGGCGTGAGAGTCTGGACCGAGTCCTGAACAACGGCTGTAGGTTGACCCTCTTTTACTTTCACTTATACTGACACTGACACACAAACACTTAATGCAATGCACCCACAGCAAGTGGCACAATTAACTTACATTCTTTCCCTGGAAGCTTAACCTAACTTAAATGATACCCTACAAGGTGAATCTATAAACATTTCTCTTAAGACTTGTTTTTTTGGGATAAGGCTAGGCAGGTAGGTTAACAGATTTTGGCCCGATATAGATTCTGGGTCCTCATTAAGTGACTACATGAACAGATTTTTGTCCCCACTACATAATTCATAGCACAGGGTAATTGTTGGATTTTAATTCTCATTATCTCCGGGGCGGGCCTAAACATTTTCTTGCCACCCCAGCTGTCAAATTTCAAACATTAATTTAGATTATGTTTAAACAAAACATGTAAATATAATGCTGTGCGATGGCTGCATTTTAGACTAAGTGAATTTTACTGAAAAAAGACTGAAAAGTGTATTCGGGAAAATGTCTGAAGATCTGAAGAAGAATCAATTTATCGATTTCTATTTTTTTTTTACCAATAATGTAATATTTTTGGGTTCAAATATCTTAATTTGTGAATCTTATGTGACTGTTTGCAATCAAATCAGCATTATTTCTGCAACCCCACAAAGTCTCCATGCCACACTCATACACCACACAAATATTTCTCTAGATCCTGCCCTGATTATCTCACAGATGTGACTATAAGACACTGAGAAATAGAGCTTCAGATTGGATCTATTTTGACTGACTGATGAAAAATCACCTTCTTAATCTTAGCAAACATCTGTCACATTAAGTCTTAAAATGCTGTATCAACCTACTCCTACAGTATAGTCAAGAAAACAACATGGCTTCAAATGATTTCCTCAATGAAATAACATGACCTGAATGTTGCTTGTTCACGTGCAATTTCAACGAGATGCCATTTCTGCACACCAACATTTTACACATAGCAGAATGATGCTCCATTATTTCCGCACAATAAGAAACGTGCTTGTTAAAATCCAAACACAGGACACATTTCACCTGTTCTGGTAGCCTGTTCCTTAAACTCTGCAGTGTCTCTGCTTTCTTCCTCCCAAGCAAACACTAAGGGCATCATTATTTCATACTATGTGCTGGTTATTATTTAACATCTGGCACATCGGTTTAAAACATGCCTTCCCCGAGGTCTGGTGTCTGTCTAATATACTGTTTAAACAGGTACTGTACACCTAGCAGGGTTTCCATAAGAACCATACAGCTTGTGTGCTTGTTATTTTTTGTATTCACACTGTGTTAGATATCAATGGGACCATTTGTTTGTTTCATTGAATGATGGAGATGATGATTTTTATCGTCTCATGCACATAAACATACTGTATGCCCACCTTGCATAGACTTACAAAACACCACAAACAGCATAAGCATTTTCAAATGATACTAAAAAGTTTACAAATAAACTATACAGTTTTACATAATCAGAATTTCAAACCTCAATATCTAGATTAAAATCCATAAACTACAAATACATTGCATGTCGCTACAATTTTTTTTAATTACATATGCTTCATATGTGTTTCAGCTGGGTTCCTTTATCAGTAATAAATTTTAGATAAAGTCAGTTTTGTGTCCACATCTTTAGGCACAACCTTATTCTGTTATTAGGGTTATTCAGTTTTTCATTTGTGCAACTGCATGTCAAGAAACTCCTCACACCAAATAAATGTATCTCCCAGAGATGTTTTTAGTTGCTTCATAGGCTACTACAGTTTAGCTAAACATAAGTGGCATTTCTCAGATTTTCAATCAATATCCCAATTTGGCTTAAGACCGTAGCAGGTAACTGCAATGTGAATTTTTAATCCGATACAGGTAAATTTATCCAGGATCACTTTTGTCCATTCAAGTATTTTGCTAATGTAAACATCATGTACATCATAATAATAATGTATAACTGAATGTAAATGTAAAAACATGTATGGTGGTTGGAAATGTGTTTTTCTACAGACACCAGCTTCTGGCTCCACTGTATACTTCACAAAGTGCACAGAAAGCCTGAGAGCCAGCAGGACTGATGATTAACTCTAATGGCTAATGGTACTTAGCAATACGTGTAAACTCCCTTGCTAATAAGTCACTTAAGTTTCCCCTGTGCATCAAAACAGACCCACGTACACATGTTACTGACCGGATGATGCGAATGGAGAAGCATTTTCTCTGCAGACCTCAGTAGGTGGCAAAAGACCTTTCTAAGTGGCTCCTTCAGCACAGGGCAAAGAGATTTATGCTTCTCCTGTGTTTGCATGCCTGCACGAATGTGTGTATGCATCTGAGTGTGTATCGGTCCATGGAGGCTATGTGTGTTATGGTAACATCTCCAGGGAGAAGTCTAAATGATTCTACCAGCGTTGATTTATTGCACGGTTGCTGCAGACTGCAGCGCCACAATTATTTACCTACATGAGATTTTACATTAACATTATTCTTTATGCCTTCTCTCTTGTTAATTCCCATGGGCTTCTCAATGACTTATTACCACTCAGACATACAGGAGCACTATCCCCCCTCCTTCGCTTTTAAAAATTGCATAATGCAATGTATATTATACTACAGGAAATAAATAACGTACGATTACTCTCAGATAAAAAGAAGACATTTAATTATAAGAACTTTTCATTGTTTTGTTATCTGAAAGATTACGCAGCTTGTTCAACCTATGAGGGGCAGTGAAGTTAATTGAAACGTACAGAAACTAAGATAATTATGCACATAAATCTGGCAGAACTCTGCTGACATCTAAGTAATTTATTCTAAAAATCATAAATGCAACAAAAACAAACAGTAAACATAATGCTGCATTTACTGCTGGTTGTTGCAGCTCTGAAACACAAACAGCTTGTCATCAGTGCTTGTGCGTGTGTGCTTCGCTTTTGTGTGTCCTTGTACTGAAGGTCTTTCAGAGAAAAAAAAAAGCTGCAGCTTGATTGAGTCTCGGTGCTATTTTGAACCAAACTAGCCATCTAGATTGCAGATAAAAGCCTGGGGCCATAACAGAATGCTTATCATCTGCAGCACATGCTTGTTGAGACAATGGGACCTTTTTCAGGCATTTTGTTAAATTACAATGGACTACATTGAAATAAGTGTTTGTTTTATCAAACCTTATTTTTTGAGAAACACCATTCTACTTTCTACATTGTCCAAACGAAAGTTTTGTTTCTGTTTTGCACACTGTAGTTGTCTGTTTCTGTAAACTGAAGTTTAGTTTAGGTATTTTGAATAAATATAATTTTATTTTCATAATAGTTTTGAAGAAGCTTCCGGACATTTTCTGTCCCTTTATGTTATATAAACATCTGCTTTTTCCTGATCTCTGTTTTGGGTCCATCCAAAAAGGTAAAGAAAACTCTGCAACAAAATGGACAATACATGACACTTTCCTCAATAAAGACCTCCATTATATAATGTTAATTGTGCCTTCCTTTCATTTTCCACTGCTTCACTTCTGCAAATCTGCTAAAATAATGGCTTTTTGAGCCACGGTGTTATATAAATATTCCGTAATGGCTTTATTCAAACATGACAGGAGTATTATGGAAAGAACCACACTGCTAATGTGATATTTGGCATCTGGTAGGCGAGAGGCAATCATTTCACTGCTTGAAAGCAGGTGTAACTTAGAATATAATGATATCAATGAAGAAGCGGTTTCTCAGTTTTCTCACAGGCTGCATCACTGATGTAGTTTGAAACTTATTAAGGTCGTTGAAGTCTTCTGAAAGTTTTAAAGTTTCTTTTCAATTTCATAATTTATTACAGAGAATATTCTAGTACTGATTTTATACAGTCCAACAGAGGAGAGGTAAAAATGACTAAAACATCAGATTATGAGATTTAATTCCCTTTTGATCTCATGCCATATGTACAGCATTTTGTTTAATGATTTTAGCAGCTGGGGTGGATGAAAGCTGTTAATTTAGGGATGGAAACAGATGGTCTGATTACTCTTGTGGTTTTCTGAGTGTCATTTTCCTTTTTAAGGGCCGAGCTGACATTTTCACATAATTTTGGGAATAATGGTGTATATGTAGTAATATAATGACACATTTATTGCAGTGTCACCGCCATGTTTCTACAGTAGCCTAGAACAGACAGACCAAACATTGGCTCTCCATAGAGCCTTTCACATTTTTTGTATTTAGCAGCCACCATAGTTTTTCCTATATGTTTAGAACAGGAGAGTGAGGCAATGGGGTTGTAACCTGCAACTACAACGCTAGATGCCACTAAATCCTACACATTGGACCTTCAAATAACCACTTGTTGTTCTATATTCTATTCCTATCAATACCTCTCTCTCTCTCTCTCTACTCTCTCCATCAGATGGTTTGAATGCTTTCCGCAGCTTCCTGCAGTCTGAGTTCAGTGATGAGAATATTGAGTTTTGGATGTCCTGTGAGGAGTTCAAGAAGACCAAGAACCCCATGAAAATGGCCGCCAAGGCCAAGAAGATCTACGAAGACTTCATCCAGTCTGAAGGACCCAGAGAGGTCAGAGACTCGTGTGACTTCCCCCTTTTTATGAGCTCAACTCCACAGGGAATAGAAAGAGATCATCACATTTAATCAGACATGGTGGGCTTTATATGATGGGTAACAATGTTTCACTCACAAACTCTCTCTTTAATATAACATGAAAGTCACTTTCACTTGTTCACCCATCACTTGGCAATAATCACTTATTACTACTACTTATTCAGATCACTCGTTTTTAATATTTAAATTCTGTGCCAATTCTGCACTGCCACAATTAAGCACAAAGGAGTTTAATATATGCAGAGACATGGCCTTTCATCATATTTTTTGTTAAGGTTAGAATTTTAAATGTGTGCCGAATACATAGTAAATCTATTCTTTGGAAGATGCCCTCTGTATGTTGGCAATGCATGAAGCAGGGATTTACAATGAGTAATACAGGCAGCATTTGTGGAAAAGTTTGTAATAAAAATAAAATTAAAGAGAACTAATTGTTGGAGGCAAAGCTGCCTGAATAACAATGTCCATACATATGATTGAGTGAGAGCCTTTATCTAATCAGTGAACAAATGTGTAGAGAAGAAATACAGACATGCTTGGGTGTAAACAGATGAGGTTACAGACAGAGAATGTACTGAGACTCTGCACGCCAGTGAACAGCACGAGAACACACACAGGTAATATACACACACACGCTTAGCACATTTTCTGCAGTAATTCCATCTTGGGTTAGGGACTTCTAGCTCCCTTTGGAGGTAAATACTGTGACTGACCTGAAGTAACTCCTGTGTCCTTTCTCGCCAAAAGTTAGATGAGAACATTGATATCACTCTCCTGTTTGGTTGTGGGTGGTTGCTTTATATTTACCAAACCGTTAGCTTAGCACAAAGACTGTAAACAATGGTTAACAGCTCTATGGGCTCGGTCCAAAGGTAACAGACTACTGTCTACTGACTACTAGCACATCTAAAGCTCATTAATAACACAATATAAACTTGTTTAATCTGTACAAATACCAAAGTGTACAAACAACATGTTGTGGTCACACTATTTATTTTCCGCACAGGATGACTGGATGAAACAAAACCATCAGAAATAAAACATTGGGCTATTTTTATGATAATTTACGTAAGACATAGTGAGCACATAAAACAATAGCTGTTAAAAACATTTACGAAGTCTAAATTGTTTATGGACTTATTAAACCAGAAAGTGTAAAACAAAAATATGTTACAAGGTAACATTAATGTGATCCATTGCAAGTTTCAATTCCATAACAGTATATTGAAGTACTCATAACCAAGCTACAACAATAAAATACAGCTTGACATTTAGGGCTGGGTATCATTTAAAAAAAACTATGATACCAGTCATAAGAGAGTGATACGAATACTTTGATACTACTTCGGTCAATACCTTAATGGTATTGATACCCAGCCCTACTGACATTATACATTTATGCAAGTTCAAACTATTAAACAGCACCATAATTGGGGCATAATCTTGCCCTGGTGGAAGGGGTTAAGGTGCTGACCCTTCATAGTAAGGTCCCTGTTTCGAGCTGGAAATCCGTGTTGCCTGTCATTCCCGTTCTTTCTCCCCTCTCTATGGTCCACTTGATTATAAAGTCATAAAATAACCCAAAAATACTTCTAAAACGTTCAGACTGCAGTTCATCAACACTATTTATAGTACATTTTACTGCTAATACTTGTTTTTTTCCAGTTAAGTAAAACTTAGGATCCAAGTACATTTCTGTAATTATTTATCATATTTATGGGCCAAAACAGCTTTATTTCAGCTCAGAATTAGCTTTTTATTACCACCAGTCTCCGAATGTTTTTAATGTTGTAAACATCAGGTCTGTGGTTGGTCCTTTCCTTGGAATAATCACACAGGACTTGATGAAGTTTATGTTTATATTTCATTTGGAACAAACATAAGAACTGGACGGTTAAATAAGCAGTGAATGAATACAATAGTATCTTTCCTAAAATGGTATTATGATGATGTGGAATCATCCGCTTCCTCTTTGTTTCCCTCAGTCCTGTCTCACAGGCACATCATCGCATTTCTGCGCACTAACATCATCAGTTTTCACATTTACCATCAATACTTAGTTGTTTCTGACAACATGTCCTGTCGTCTTCCCGCTACAGGTGAACATTGACCACTTCACCAAGGATGTGACCCTGAGGAACCTGGTGGATCTCTCCCCTGCAACCTTTGACCTGGCCCAGAAGAGGATCTATGCCCTGATGGAGAAAGACTCCTTCGGGCGTTTCCTGCGGTCTGAGCAGTACCAGGAGCTCCTGGTCAACTAAGCCTGACCAGAAGTCTGAGGAGCTGGGGTGGGGGGTGGGGGT